ACTTGAGGTATGAGGAATGTTGATTCCACATCTTCCGCTCCCACAAAGTCGGCGATTCGGAGAGCTCCCAAAACCACCAGCAATCCAAGATAGGTGTGGAATCGAAGTATCGCACGGGTGCACAAGACCACAAGACCACAGAGATCAGAGGGCTGGGATTCAAGAACCTACTGCAGGTTCTAGGCTGCCAATTTTTAAACCTGATGCAGGAACTGGAGATGTCTTGCTTGCCCAACCCAGCCCTGCGCTTTTTGAGAAAGCCCTGAAAGCTTGCGCCTGCCCTTTGCTGTCCAAGCTGCTTGAACTTGCCAGCCTTCTGATATGCCACTTTCCCCTGGTGCAGGCCGATGAGCTTGTACCTTCAGCAAAGTCGTTGGGCTGAGAAAGGGTCCATCAACTCGACGCGAAGCTGGTGGGAAATAGTGCTCCCATGATTTGCCAACCGTCCAACCAGAATCCTGGAATTGATATCCAGAAAAAGAGAAGCTGCTGGATGGGTCAAAGCTCCAAGTTTGTGTGTTCTTTCCGAACCCACTTCTCCGGCCTCCAAGAAGGTCTCTAAAGCACATCATCCCAGATCCCAACCCCTACTTCTCAGACATGATCTAAAAGTCCACATAATTCTACATCCATTGATTCCAAAAAGACCCCCAAGAACCATCCACCCCAATTCCAGGCATCTTGGATGGCATCTCGACTGACTGAATTATTGAACTTACTAGTAGTAGCATAAACCAGTACCTTCCAACAGGTCTCCAGAGGGTTGGGAAGGGCCCGAAGACAGGTTTCAATTGACCTGTGAAGTCGGTGGAAAAACTCGCTCCAGACGGTCGGGCGCGTCCCAGTGGCTCTCCATTCAGCGCCCAGTTCTCTTTGCCACTGGCGCGTCCCAAGACTTGAATGGTGCCCGGTGCCGCGGTGACCAGGAACCTGAAAAACCGGCTGAGATGGACTGGCACTGGTGACCAGCAAACACACAAAAAGGAAGAAAAACACAAGAAAAGGTGGTGTTGAAAGCGGACGAAGTTGCTTTCAAGAGGACATGTGTTCTGGAACAGGTTGGGTGATTCATCGAGTTGTGTGCGAAGAGGTTGGACTTGCTGTTTGATCTCCTGAAGCTCCACAGTTCTTAGACGGCCACAGGTCAAACGGGAGACCTGCAACTGATGGCCATGGTGCACCCCACCTGGAGCCCGGAACTCACCCTGGTAGGTTGACCATGTCTGGTAGTCTATTCTGTTCATATTCGGTGGGGAAAACCAAAAAAAAAAGAACCTTGTTTCAAGACCCACTGCCATGTAATTCTGGCAGGTTGTAAATGCACGTGGAGCTTCGTGCAAATCCAAGCCCATCCTTCGCCAAGCAGCTCTGGGTCTCGCACGTGCTGTCGATGCTGAGACTCCCAAACCCGCCACCTCAGAGCAGAGCCCATCAGCTTTTCCGACCGTTTGCCCCAAACCAATGCGACCGGGCTGGCGACCCGGAGTTCAACAAATGGAGTTCAACGAATGCTTTTCACGGTTTCTTGGTACGAGTAGGTGGGGACTCTCAAATGCCTAAGTCTAACTCACCTCGAATACCTAAGACCCAAATTGTCTCATTCTCCTTCATTCTCATCCCACGGATGACCCACACAACGCCCACCAAGTTGGAAGACCCAAGCCACACAAGCTCCTCGACCGCGGGGTGTCGGGCGCCGCCCTGCTCCGCGTAGGCATTGCAGACGTCGGACTCCTGGCGGGTGAGTGAAGAAGGGGTGAAGAAGGGGTGACTGCTGGGCTAAGGTGAGGGTGAACTAGAGAGCACAGTCAAAGGCACTTCGACAAAGCAACGCAAAGAAGTGGTGTCAGTGACTGCTCCTGACACTATTCGCTCATTGGGTTCAGTTTCACATACCAGCACCAAAAATTGAAGTCAACAGTCGATGAGCGCCACTTTGCTGACAGCTGTTTACTGCAGCTACACGGTGGCAATGACTGACTTGACCCTTTGAGATGAGCACCTTCGACCCCCAAAACCCCAGAGCACGGCGGACGAGTGGCCCGACCCCCACGCGGAACCGCTCCTGCACACCTTCTCGGTCGATGAGCCAGCGATCGGCCACGGGCCAGTACCGGATCACGGTCCTCGCGGAGGGCTCGGCGCGGACCGAGCTCCGGACCAAGCCCGGTGGAGGTGGAGAAGGGTGAAGATGGAGGCTCCGACCTTTCCAGGCCAAATCTGGTCGATGGAGGCTCCGAACCAATGTCTCCCAAGCCGTGAATTGAAACGAACTCACGCCCGGGTGCTCCGGTCCATCCGAATTCTGAAGAAGGCAGCCTGCGCCCATCCATCCGAAGTCTGCTCCCAAAAGCGAGACGGCTCCCCCAGGGCCTCCCCCAGGGCCTCACCAGCTTCCCACCGACCAGACCAACGAGTGCGGCCGAAAACGTTTTTCGCGACGCGCCGGTCCTGGTGCCGGGCTTCCGGTAGGCGGGTCGGCCGTGCACCATGCCGATCCTCGGAGACTCAGAAGAGTGCTGCATGGCGAACCCCCAAAAAGGGGGAGCCAAAGGGGACTGAAGACGTGAGGCATGGGGGGAACTCCGAACGTGGGAGTAAATCCCCACGTGGAAACCGTCCCATCCATTCTCTATGTTGGGGACCACGAAACATGCAGTTGAAGTTCAGTTCGTGGGATCGAATGACCAAGGTAGAACGTGCAAAAAGAGCTCAAAAGAGCTCATGAAACCACACGTCTTTAAATGGATGATGACGAAACGCGCGAAGAGAGTCAGAAAGGGAAGCAGGAAAATACAAGCAGCAGTCTGGCAGTCGAAAGCCCAGGGCACATGTGGTACTCGCCCTGGAGATCCTGATTCTCGCGCTCCTCGTGGAGGGTGAATGACCAGAAAACACTCTGCAAAAATGGCAACTTCCCTTCCCCGAGTCCCTCCCCTCTCTGAGTTCCTCTGAGCCCGGAGGTTTCTTTTCTCCCCGCTTGTTCAGTTCTTCCAAGAGGGTTTGGCTCCATTTGTCCTTTGGGAGGACCTTGGGGGGAGATACCATATCTCTGGTCTGTTGGCTAAAGTGCTGACACTCAGTGAGATTGTGTTGACAGGTTGGCTCCAGCCTACCTTTTGTGGTGGCGTGATTCATCTCCTGAAAAGTCTTCTTCAACAAGTCAAGTTGCAGTTGGAAAGGAATGTCGACGTCGATGCAGCGCGACGCAGCGCGACGGTGGGACTTTCTCTACTCAAGGCAGCTTCTCTGAAAGTTCCAAGTCCTACACTCCTGGAATCATCATGGAAGTGGAGTTCACCACCTGCTTGTAGAGGAAAATCATCATCCAAGGGGCCATGCCATCCACTTCCATCATGATTCCAGGGATTGTGACTTCTTCTCTGGTTGTCAGCACCTCCGAGCTTCTCTCCCGTGTAATCCCCAAGCCTTGTGCCGACCCACGACATTGACCACAAGAGGATCATCCGGCTCAACCATCCTGACTCATGTGCTTTCAAGACCAGTCCCCCAGACTTCGGGAACCATTCAAACGGGAACGACCTGGTGTTTGGGACGTGTCAAATCCTTTCCGTTGATTTGGTAAAGCCTACTAAATGAATCGTGGTTGGAAGCCTAGGGAGTAGGTAGGGTAGAGGCGCTTTTGCTCTCAATGCCATCTTGTCATTGTTGGAAATGAAAGCACGATGGGGGCCGGCTGGAATGCATCATAATTAGTATGTGCATTCATTTGCTTGGCATGTGCAAGCCTACACATTCACCATCTCTTCAACCGCTCGAAAGAAATATCAGTTGTGCCACAGCCCTCAGCCCGAAGGTGGAATGAGATTGCGGCAACAAAGCTCCTAGGCTCCTAGCGTCCTAGGGTCCTATGCCCTGAATCGCCCCGAGAGGATCCTCTTGGAACTTCTTTCTCGAAAGAAGTGGCTCTGTTGAAGCGAAACGGGTCGGGAGACGGGTCACATCGGAGAAGTGGCTCGGCCTTCCGAAGGGTCCGCAGTACGGTACTTGGCCTGTGGCCGATGCCCTGTGCTTTTGCGGAGCGAAGAAACAGATTCTGTCCTGTCCAGTCTGATCGAACTGACCCCAAGTGGGAGATGCCAGATCAAAGCCCAAGAAATGATCCATCTCCAAGGGAAAGAAGTGTGCCTCCATTTGAAACCCCAAGCCCAGGATGGCAAAAGCTTGGCTATAGGCTCTTGCGAACCAAAATTCACCAAACTCAGCTTGGCCGTGTGAAACTCTTACCACTCACCCGTCGAAGCATTCACACTCCCCGTCTCCCTCCGAAAACCCCAAACACCCAAGGCCCACCTCATGGAACCGGCCCAACCATTCGGTCACCCAACCATGCGGTCACCCAAGCACGGTACACACCACCGCTTCATCCTCGAAACGGACGAAGCTCGAAGCTCGGAACATGCCATGAACATGCCATCCCCTATAGATCCACTGCCTGGACCCAATAGATAGGTCTCCACACACCGGACCTCAGGTTTGGCAGTGGATCCATAGAGATCACCTGCCCTGCCTGGGGGGGGAAGACCCCGGGCTCCTTTGGCTGGAACCGCAGCTGAGCCCAAAACGGCGTCGAGTCGTGGCGGGGCCGCGCTTTCTGAGACCGCAACGGTCCAGTTTCCGAAAAAAGAGATCTTCTAGGGGTTTTAGGTGAAAATTTACAATCCTTTTTGCTGCCAAGCCTCTTCAGAGTGCCAAGTAAGTCCCAATAACCAATGCCAAGAACCAACTGAAGCGGTTTTGTGTTCGGAGCGGAACAAAAAATAAACCCAAAAAGACTCCGAGTCACGAATCATGGTCACGTGGAGTGAGGTTTCCACCTGCTTGTAAAGGAAAAGTAGGGTGACGAAGCCCATGCCATTCACTTTGATTTCAGGGCATGTCAATGTGTTTCCTTGACGAGAGAACCCCTTTCTTGAAGCTGTTGCGTTCAGCAAGCGTTCCAGTAGTCATCGGGTTGGTTTTTCGAGTGTGGCTCCGGCCTGCCAGGCTCCGGCCTGGCGTCGCTCCCATCCAGTGTCCTCGAGGTTCGAGGGAAGTGGAGTGTTTGCTTTCTTTTTTCGACCGAAAACACGGTTGGGAAGAAAAGAGCAAACAGGACGATGTGATCAGTGACTTGTCTCAAGATCCACCTGGAAAATGCCACAGCATTCCACAGCATTCCACAGCATCATAGCTGTCCCATGTCTGCTTTAGAAAAACGCTCGCCGCTGTGCGTGTTTCGCTCTTCGCTCTCGTGTGCCGGTTCCACATGCCTCCTTGGGGGGATCCAGGCAATCGAAGCCCCAGCACCTCAGGACAAAGTGTTCAGGACCCTGGCGGCCCTTCATCTTCTCTACTGCAGCCCTTCATCTGATCACCTGAAAAACCGAAAAACACCTTTCTTCCGCAAACTCATATTCCTCAAAATCACTCTTATCCATCACCAGCTTCTTGCTCCGAACAAAGTATACGCGATGGAAGAACCCGAACTCGCGTCGCGATCCGTTCCGTTCGGGTTCGCGTCATCCATCATCCCTCCTCGTTCGGTCGCCCCACTCAAAGGTCTTCACCACAAAGTCTCCCGAGAGCTCCGGCACCACGCCGTGCAACGCGCCCGCCGTGCCGAAGGTCTCGCAGGGGCCCTGTGCTTCAGGGCCGTCGTTGGACGGTGCCGACGTGGTTGGACGGTGGCGGGTTCAGCGCCACAGGCAGGCCACGGACACCCCACCCCCTAGTAGTAAGGCCAAGAGCCCCTAGTCGCGTACTTGCTCCTAGTAGCGATGCCCTTTGCTCCTGGTGGTAAGGCCAGGAGCCCGCAGTTACAGGGGATGAGCGGTGTGGACCGTTTCAACCACCACCAAAGGCCCGGGGCCCGGCCGTCTCGAGGGCCCCTGTTGAACGCACGACGGGAGCGAACGGTCCAAGCAGGTCCAGAGCGAACGTTCCAAGAAGCGGGGATGAACTTGGTGATGATTTTTTGAGACTTGGATGGACTTGGATAGTGTCTCATGTACACAAATTCATTAGACCTCTCCAAACACACCCATCACACCTCACCTCCTGACTAGTGAGGACCTCAAGTCTGGCATGGACTGGGTGCCTCTTTGAGAAATGGCATCCGAAGGGTGTCTCAGAAGAGTGATCAAAACTAACAGCGTAGAGAACGAGTTATACCTCTTTTCTCTCCACAAAGAAACCTCCCGAAACCTCCGAAAGCACCACACCAGACGGTCGCAGGTACTGCTCCGGGCGTCCCGGGCCGAAGCGCCCCTGAGGAAGTCTCGATCGATCCAGAGTGCCGGGTGCCTGGCGGTGGAGCGGCCGAAGAGAGGACGGAAGCTGAGAAGACCCAAATCGTGCAAGCTCGGGTGGATCTGAAAAGTTGAACTCAGCTGAGTTGGTGTCATCTCTGAGTCGAGACCAACGGAAGCACCTCACCACCGATGTCGGTGCAAAACCAAAGAAGTGTTCTCGCCACAAGAAGTGGCCCGTTGAAAGAACAAAAAGCAAACCAAAAAACGAATGAAAATCGATGAATATATAGATAAAAACAAACAAAAAGGACCTATTTCCTCCCAACCAGCATCTCGCTGGTTCCACACACCACCGGGTTTGAGGTCCCACCCCCAAAACGGCGGTCGCTTCGGCGCCAACGGGGTTTCGGTCGCGGCAGGTCGCGGCAGAGAACAGGGCACCTTCCACCACCCAACTTCAGACCACCTGGGAGTGATGATCGGATCCTCTCAGCCAAGCTACCGAGCTTGGGAGGTGCTGGAGCTTCTTTCTACCGAGCTTTTCGTGGCTCAAGGAGGATGATTCTTTTTTGTGGCAGCTCAGAAAAGAAGAACCTTGGTTTTGTGGACTTGACGCCACAAAACTAGATCAAGCATCTTAAACATGGTCTTGCTTTTCCAGGGTTCAGCGCCCCGATTGAGCCCCTGTCCCAATTTTTGGAGCCTCAGATCTATCAGTGATCTATCAGTGACCTGCTCAAAAGGGATGCGACCACCAAGTCCAGAGGTGCCACAATTCCCATCACTGGTTGAAGGATTCGGAGGTCAACCTCTATTGCTCGTCTCTTCAAAAATAGGTCGCCATGGCGCTCGTCATGTCGCGTGGGTGAACCGCTTGATCCTCTTCACTCGTCTTCGGCCAAGAAGGGCCGAAGTCGCATGTGGCGCGAAGCGTCCGGTGGGCCCCGGAACGGGTGGTTTGTCCTTTCGACGGGGTGTTGACCAGAATCTTCGGATAACCAGGCTGTTCCCGATGCATGAGCTGATCCACACTTGAAATGATTAAGTGCAAAAGAAGAATAGAGAACGGCTTCAAAGAGAATACGGGCTTCTTCAAAGATGCGGTTTTTTGTTGGAAATTCCAAACCTCCAAACTCCTTCAAGTACTCTTGCTGCCAATGAGCTGGCGTCTGCGAAGAGGAAATAGCTGTTCAGCCCCGCCTGGCAACTTCTTCCACCTCAACCCTTCTACAACCTGCTTCACATTCAATCTCACAAGCCATGCAAACCATGTCCATGATTCCATGATGGAAGCCTCCAAGTCGCAACCACCCGTTTCCACTAGCTACCATGTCTTCCCCCACGAGCCAAGCTGTTGACTTGTACAATTCAAGCCCTTCAAACTTCAAACTCTCAAACAAGCACAGACAGGCACAAACAGAGATACTCTGTTGAGCAAAGAGAAACGAAACGCCTTCCCAACACAAAAATCCAACAAGCACATGGCCCAAACATGCCCAAACATCTTCCATGGGCTCAACAGGGAAGCCACGCATGAAGCGTGGCCCCCCCGCCCAGTCCGCTTCGTGGATGTCTCGTCTCAACCCGGCCAGAGCCGCCCAGCGGTGGACCTGGAGATCCTGGCGCGCGTGCCACGTGCCACGTCTGTCCGTTCCGCCGAAGTCCAACTGAAGCGAGGAAGACTGGGCCATGGCGGCCACGACCCAAACCACCACGCCATGTTTTGGTCCAAACACCTATATCAGTTTCTGGAGACGTTTGGTCCAAACACCTATTTTGGGTCCCACGCGACCACTTCAGTGATCCTTCGTTTTGGAAGTCCCATGGGAGGCAATCACCTCCTCAAAGCGGAAGACGAAGCAATCCGCGTGGCCAAAATGCCGCTGCGCCACCTGAACGACCCACGGCACAGGCCCCGACGACAAAAGCCCGTGGCCGATCGCTCCGTGCGTCACGATGGCCTCCACCTATAGAGCTTCTGGTATGATGTGGCGGAAGTGTGGGCCCAACGATCGTGAGTGGCTGCTAAGCTCGAGTTGCAGGTAAGGAAAGCCGAGTTCCAACCAAAAACACCACCAACACAGATTCGTAGGCAGGCTGATGTGAATCATGGTCATCATCGGGGTAAGGAAGGTTCTGACCAGTTGGTGGGTCTTCAATGTGGCCTCAGGGTTAAACAGTTTTGGAGTAAGGATAAGGCTTTGAACGCGAGCTGTTTGCTTCCCTGCTGTTTGCTTCTGTCCCGACCTACCCCGTCCACACGAGCCATGAGGACTGGTAGCTTCTGGAACTGGCAGATTACCGCAAATGGAGTTGTAAACGGCCCGGTGAGCCATTGAGTGGTTAAAACCCACTACCAGCAGGCTTCTCAGACGGCTCCGTTTACCGGAACCGTAAAGGTGGTAAGACCGTCCCATTCTGAGCAAGAGCTTTCTATTCGGGTGAGCTGAAGGTGAAACTCTTGACGTTCAATTCTCAGCTCCGGCCCACGCATTGCAACTCATTTTGGCAAGACTTCTTGTGACCCCAAACCCAGGTCCGTCCCGTTCTTCGACCGGGCTTGCCCGCATGCCAGGTATGTGATGCGAAGCCACCAAAGACTGCGCCCTCTGTGTCCTTCCCGAAAGTGCACATTCGCCAGTGGTTCCAACCGTTGGAAATGGATCTCTCCTTCGTGTCGCAGTACCATCTCTCTGCGTCCTTTTCTTCAGATTGGAAGCTGACAAACCTCTAACCTACTAGCAATGGCCTCCAACCTAAGCTTTTTGTTCCTAGTAGTAATGGCCTCCAACCTAGAAGCGATGGCCTCCAACCTACTAGCCATGGCCTCCACCCTACTAGCAATGGCCTCCAACAACCTCCCCCCAAAGAAAAACGACCAAAAACCGCGGCCAGATCGCACCGGGGACACCCCGGGCCAGGTCAGGACGGGAGACTCTCCTCCACCAAGATCAGCGTCTCGCTCGGGGAGGCCTCTCTTGAGACCTACACTCCGACCACATGTAGCTTCGAACATTGGATCTGGGGTGTGCACTCGGGCATGTCTCTGTGTCCAAGGATTTCCACAAGGATGTCCACCTCACCCCCCAAAAAAAACACCAATGAATGTAAGCCTCACAGGGGAACACACCCTTTCACCGTCCCGTCACCGAAGATAAGGTCATGTCTTTTCGAGCCATGTTAACAACGCGTCTGACGCGTCTTTTCACTGCAGAAAGAAACACCTGAATTCCCATCAAACGGAAGAAACCAAAGAGAGAAAGGACCCTCCGTGAGATTCCAAACAAGAATGATTTAAAAAAAAGAAAAAACTCTGTCACCTGCACCACCCCAGTCCCCAAACCACCACTCTCTTTTCCGTCGTCCTGCCTGGCATTGCCGGAAGAAGGTGCCCATCGAGACGCCATGCACCTCCGGACGATACAGCAGGCGCCAGCTGCTGGCCACACCTCGTTGCAGGTCGATGGCCGGGTCATCGGACCGGTGCACCGGGAGACCGAAGAGAAGACCGAACAGACCAAGCTGTTTTGGGCAGAAGCTATTGATTTTCCCGTTGATTCCTTCTGATTATTTGTTGATTCCTCTTGACTGTTGTTGATTTCCTTTTGAGCCCTATTGATGTCCTATTGATTCGGTTTGATTTCGATTGAATTCCTATGTATTTCCTTTTGGTTCCCATGTATTTCTTTTTGGTTCCTTTTCATGTGTTTTCGCTTCTTATTGGTTCCCTTTTGGTTCGTAATGGTTCTTTTTTGGTTGCTCCTTTTGATTCTTTTTGATTCCCTTTTGATTCCTATTGGTGTACTCTCTTGATTCCTTTTGATTTTCTTTTGACCCCTATTGAATTGCTTTTGATTCCTTTAGGTTTCCTTATGATTTGTTTGTTGATTCCCTTCGATTGACTTCCTTGTGATTCCTATTGATTTCCTTTTGATTCCTATTGATTTCCATGTGGCTCCTTTTGATTCTTATTGAACTCCTTTTGGTTCCCCTTCATCTCAATTCCAGGACTTCTTCCAAATATAAATTCCCTTTGATCTCAATTCCTTCAAAATACTAATTCATTCTAATTTAGGTCCAATGTCAATTCTAACTTAATTTCTATTTCAACTCAATCTAATTTCAACTCTCTAATTCTAATCAATCCAAGGAGGTAGCCGCTAGCAGCTCCCGCAACGATGACTGGAACGATGTCCCGGGCAAATACATTGTTCATACCACGTTTTATCGCGCATATCAAACCATCGAGGAGTTGACCATCGTCGCAGTCACGTGCATGTACTGCACTGTGAAAGTGAGAGAAAGCCTCAACTCGCTCAATACAATTCCGAGATGACTTTCGAGTTGAGGATCTCGTGGAAGCCAACCAACGAGAGAAAGGTCTTTCGTCTAACATGAAAGGTCATGTCTCCTGTCTCCTGATGTGATTCCACTGTCGGCTATCTTCCTCGCGTTCGATGTTAAGAAGAACACTTGACACTTGGTTGAAGACTTGGTTGAAGTATGTGTCCCTGACAAGGTTACCAGTACTGTTCGACAAGTACTATGATTGCTATTGGTACCTCAGTCAAGATGACCTGACATATTGGGAAGAAGTTAGCAGATATTGAAAAGGACACAGATCGAGCGCGCCGTGCCGTTGAGGAAATGTGCACTGAAGCCGGTCGGAACTACGGCGATCATGAAGCTTCTGACGGTGTTACCAGGTCAACCATGGGTCGCATCGAGCAAAAGGGCTCAAGAAGCCACCGGTGCGGGGGCCGTCAAAGTCCTCAAGACTTACTTATCAAGCTCCTGGAGGCGCTGGTCTTTGCAATTACTGCAAAACAGACAAACCGAATCTCACCAGTTTCTTTTGCCACTCTTGCGGCGCTTATTGCCGCATCCCACGCCGGGAAAAGTGCAGAGACTGCAACTATTATGGCCTCCGGCACCTCACGCGCGAAGATCTTTGCGATCCGTCTATTGCTGCACGATGAGGTTGGCCATGATGGAGCGCCTCTTAGGCTGCGTTTTCCGCTGCGAAGTCCCGTTCACCTCCGCCTTCAGGATGCTCAAGAAAGACGCAAGAAGAAGATGTCCGCCCTAGTGGCCCAAGTTCTCCTCAGGTTGGTTCTTGACCATTGCGAAAGGTCCTGACCGCTGAATGCGCTTTCCAGATTCTGTATACCATCCGTCCGATGGAGTGAACGAAAGCAAACCGAAAGAGCCCTTCATGGGGCCTAAGAGGCAGATCGATCGCGAAGCCCAGAAGAACATGTTCGTCAATAAGGCATGTGTATCTCTCCGGAAAGACGTGGCAGGACAACGCTCGATCCATCTGCGCTCAACACCAGGCAAAGAGAAGACCTTGGCCGTTCTGGAGGCATGGGTCGAGATACAGTCAATTCCGAAGACCTGCGACAAGAGTTCAGAGTTGTCCATTTTTTCCTGGTCTCATTGTCCGCAACCCGCGTCATGTCATGATTCTGCAGGAAGCAGCCGGATTGTCGACGAAGCCTTACCATCAGGAGGCTCTAAAGGCTAGACACGTGGTATTGTGATTCACTCCACAACAGGAGCGCCCTGCATGGAGCGGTGCGAGCGCCCCTGGAGATGAGACCACATTGTTCGAGTTAATCGACCACATCCAATGCGGGGAAAGGATGTCTCAGGAGGAAGTCGCACAGAAGATGTGATCGATGTTGAGGCCCCACAGTTAAGTTATTCACCGTGGATTTGCTGCAACCACTGAGCCTCTATTGGTCAACACCACTCCACTCTTTCGTCTGTCGATCAGATGTATGACGGCGATAAGGTGCCGATCCGATCCTTGAGCGAAGACGGAGAGCTGCTTTTTCAAGATCAGCGATACCAAGGTATCAGCGCCGAAATCGTTCAGATTGTGCGCCGCGTGGGCAGCAATGAGTTGAGAGTGCGCAACTGTCATATCAACAGTAAGATGTTGCACAAGGATAAAGGCGGCTATGATGTTGTCCGCCGTGGCTTTACGTCCATGGCGTACACTGCCCTAGCGGAAGACATGGACGTCATTGCTGGCGACGGAAGCTTCACGAATCAGAGGGACAAGGACTTGACGACCTCCCTCTGCGTCGAAGTGCTTGAGGCCGTCCTAACGGCCATCAACAGCCTTCATGCCTTGGAGCGGCGGATTACTGAGTGGCTCAATAGTGTCAAGGGCGAGCCCGTCTACGACGGTGCTGTCTTATCCTGATTTATCTCGGGTACGTTCATCTCTCTTTGCTTACCCGGATTCTGAGGAAGGTAGGCAAGAGCTTGATGAGGTGTACAAGACTGGTTCGTTCAGAACTAGGGAGACAGTTATGAAAGAGACAGAGCGTTTCAAGCGCTTAATCAATGAGGACATACTCCTCCCAACCAAGGACCAAGCCTGGCGTGAGCCGCTGGTCGTAGCTCTCCAGAACCACGGACCGAAATCGGCACGCGGCAGAGGAGGTCCGTGCTGTGGCGCTCTCGTTCAGAAAGAGGAAGATGGAACCGTTCTGCAGTCAGAGAGCACGCTACGAGGCTCACGTTCTGTTCAGCACTTTTGATGCTTTTTCGTTCGTCTTTCTGAGGGAGCTGGAGAACCGTCGTAACGGCTTTCAAATTCGTGAAGAATGAACCCGTACTGCATGTCTAAGACATAGCTTTTCACCCTTTTCAGTTTGTACAGATCACACGACTGCATGCCACAGAGCAAAGAAAATCTGTGTCTGTTTTGTGTTCTGTTTTTGGGCCGCTTTCCGCTGTTGCTTCAAGTGGCTAGCTATTGTTTATGTATAGCATATATGCTCTTATGCAATGCTCATGATACATGCCAACGACGTTTGGCTCAAGGTACATGCGTGTGTAAAAGCCGCTCATTCGCCTTCGCTCACTCGCTCTTCTGGACATTGTCAGGGTGTAAGCTAATCCAGGGTAGATTCACTGAAGTTCACTCACTGCGTTGCCACTGCAAGAAAAGCAGTGAGAAATCATTAGATACAATTGAAACAAATGTCCTTATCTATAAATAATTGCTTCAATGGATGCAAGGTCTCATGGGTCCGAGGAAAGGCTCGTGCTGTCACTCTCACTTAATTGAGGGTGAAAGCAAAGAGCCTCGAGCATGATTGGAGCGCCGAGGCTAGACACAGACGCAGAGAGAGAGAGAGAGGGACCGCGCGAGAGAGAAAGAGACCTCGCTCTTTCGGATGTCAGGAAGGTGTGTCCAACATGTTGTTAACGCAATTCAATCTTCCGAATGAATCGCCAGGGGACGGAAAGCTTCCGCTTCAGCTTTTTAGCTTTTGAAGCTAAACGATCGGTGAAGTCTGCGCAGCCGCAGCAATAGGAAGAAAGCGCAGAAGCTCAAAAGTGGCCCATCACCAGTTGTCCAAGAGCCTAACATCCTCAACTGTCACAGGACCCTCGAACGTGGCTCCCGACATTCTTCACCGGGCACTTTTCGTGTACCGTTCCTCAATCTGTCGGCTGCAGGTCACAGGAAGAGGGAACTTGTTGCGTTTCACAGGCCTTGTCCCCAAACCTAGGCCAACGCCTAC